TTCACATGGAAGCCAAAAAGATTTAGCGTGCCATTCACCTCTCCTATAATTCTAACTACACTACTTCTAACTAGAACTCGGAACCAACTGCAGATTTACACTTGCTTTAAGACCACCCAGAGTACCAAAGGTTTTGCCCCAAGCAAGAGGGACCCCTTTGTCTCACCAAATTTTCCAAATGACCAAGCAGCCACAGAGAAAGAGTACAGAGGCTGTGTGGTGAGGATATGTGTGTATGTGTTTATGTGGGTGTATACCTACCTGCATGGGTATGTAATTCTACAACTCACTCCTCCTGTCCCCACATAGTTAAGCTGTATTAAAATAACTACAATATTTTGAGAGCCTACAGTCGTATGCTTAAGTTAAGAATTCCACTGGTTGAAGAAAAATCAATCAACATTGGACAGCTTAATGAACTCATGTAAAAATATATTGAACACACAGGTGCCCAGCATGACAGGAAACAATATGGGACCAACGATGGGTTTGCTTCACTGCCACCCACTTGCACCGTCCCCTTCCAAAGCCCTATTTCTATTTTGGCATTCACAATTTATACTCTTTTCCTTAAACATCGTCCCCCCTCTCCAACTGTCATGAGTTTTCTGGCCCACAAAACCCAGATTCACCTCTGGATCATGCTGTGTCTGAGGAGCTCACTATTTGGTCGGAAGGCAGGCATGCAGGTAACAACTACATAACCTGATACCATTCTTTCTAATGGTTAGGTCCAAGTGTCCATGTGTGCTGGGAGCACAGCTGAGAGCAGAATGAACCCTGACTCGGAGGACTGGGAAAGGTTGCTCAGAACTGGTCTGAAAGGATGAGTAAGGATAACGGGCAGAGGACATGAGCAGGGATACAAGAAGGAGAAAGACATTTCGAGTGAAATGGGAGAGTGAAAACAACCTAGGTTAGTGGTTCTCTCCTGGGACAATGCTGCCCCCCTCCCTGAGGGGACGTTTGGCAATATCCAGAAGCATTTTCAGTTGTCATAAATGTGAGGGAAGTAGTGCTACTGGCATCTGGTGTGTAAAGCCCAGGGTAGGGGAAACATCTGACTGCTTAGTGAAGTCCTAAACATCCATCCTACAATTCACAGGACAGCCCCCTCAAAATAAGATCTAAGCCCAAGCATCAATAGTGCTGCAGCTGAGAAGCCCTGACCTAGGCAAAGGTGTAAAAGACATGCTGTTAGGTTAAAAGAAGTTGCCTGTAACTTTGGCAAGCAGTGTTTCAAATGACTGCTTTCATGGAAGAGAAAAACCAGTAAAGAGAGAATGGAGGAAAAATTAAATTTCCAAGGAGCCAAGATACCAGGCTGAGCAGATGCTATATTCTCAAAACAGGAACCATTGCCAACAAAGTTAGGAAACTGACCCCTGGAAGCCTACAGTGTATTTCATTGTCTTATGAAATGAGAAGTACAGCTCTCCGGGATGCTGTCCTCAGCCTAAGCCCACCCTGAACAGCAGTCTGCTTTCTCCCTTTTACACACTTGGCTAAGTGGGAATGAGAAGCACAATGAGAACCAGTTGTTCTATGCAGTTCACTCTGAAGGGAGAGGGTGCAAAGCTACTGCTAATCCTGGAAGAACTCAAGTACAGGAATGACCCAGCAAAGAGAAAAGGAACCAACCAAAAGGTTCCAGGTCCCAAAAGGAAGTGGCTGCAAAGAAAGCAGAATATGATGAGGATACTGTGGCCAGTGCTGCAAGGGGTCATTATTAGGGTTTGCTGGCAGGAACCAGGACTGACCATGAAGGCAGGAGGTAACTGTGCAGGAATCTCACTCCTGGGCACAGATTCTTGAAAAATGCCACGAGGAGCTGACCACCACCACCAAAACCACCAGCACCTCCACAAAAAAGGAAAAAGAAATAAATGGAATGGATCTCCCCTAGCAAGGAGCTCCTAGGAGAGAAAGAAAGTAGCCTTCAAAATACTACAGCTTTTCATATAAGGGTAAGAAATATAAATTGAAACTTCTATGCAGATATACTAACTCACACCAGTCCACATCATTCCTTAAATCTTGCCTTACCCAAACTCACATGTACAGACACATACTTACATCAATTTTTGAAAATAATAACAGCATGTGGAAAGTTACACTGATTGTAGCAAATGTTTAAATATCAAGTTTTAGCTTCAAGATGGGAAAAGAAGGCCAGCATAGTAGCAAAATAAAAAGATAATTCTAAATGAACAGTGTCATAAAAGCTTTAAAGTAACTGTTTTCCTCTCTTTTTCTTCTCACTGCAAAAAAATGTTGTCACAAAGAAATGTATTATGTACCCAGCATCATGCTGGTGATGCTATCTGGAAACTTATAATCGAGTCTGGAGGACACAGACCCCTGAAATGGGTGCTATCTTGAGTGCCTAACTATGTCACCAACCACAAATGATGAGGGCCTTGCAGAAGAGCGAGGGAGAGCAGAGAACAGGACCTTCCTGACAGGAGTGAAAGAAAGAGCCACAGCCTGGGGAAGGCACGGATGATCGGGCTCATCCACACACATTCAACAAAAGATGAAACACTCAATATATAACCACAAATCACACCGGGTATGGCCCAACCACCCATGTTCTGGGAGATGAAAACACTTCAACATCACATAAGAGCACTTGGACCTGCAGTGTTCAAGTCATCTTTTGCAAAGTGAAACAAATGTTTCAAGGGTCCCAACAGCATAAGCCCAGAAGCTCATACAGCTAAACACTAAAATAGTCTGGAGGGATATCAGAGTGATATGAAATCCAAACTATCAGAGAAAGAACTGCATTCTACCTGGGTAATCAGGATTTACAACTGAAGAGGAGGTCAAGGGTACTGCTGAGACTGTGTTTATGGCTACGGGGAACCAATTACTCCCAACTTCTACGTAAACCACGAACAATCACTGAACCTGTACCTTGAGAATCGCAGCCAATTCTCAGAGTCGTCAAGTATACACAGAGATGAGACATATACAGATACGTGCACGTGTCTGAACAGCCAGGATCTTGACTGACTTGGTGATTGAGCGTGAAGGCAGCCCTAGAAACCTGGGCATTAGCCAAGGGTCATGCTAATGAGCTGGTGATTCCTCCCACAACTCCCCAACACCAACTCCTTCCCCTCCAGACAACTTAGTATATTCACTACCACCCAAACAGAACCAGCTTTCATGCCTCCACTCCTCTGCTCACGCCACTGCATCCACTTGGAATGTTCTCCACCTAGACAAATCCTACCCATCCTCTGCAACTCATCTGAACTTCTCTCCTCCTCTGTGTTGTGTTTTTGAGCCAGCCTAAAGCACCTCTCCCTCTTCTCAACTCCAGAACAATTAGTTTGTACAGTTTCTTGGCAAAGAATCATGTAAGCTCTATAAAGTCTAACTCTTCTATTGTTTTCTCGACGTATTATTTAAACCAGTAGGAATTTCCAGGTTTCTCCCTGTCTTTATTGACATTGTCACCTCTTTGAGAGATAAGGATACATCTTAGAGTTCTTCGGGCCTTCTCACCTCCAAAGTACCTTGCTCAGTGTAGAACTAAACTGCAAGGTTAAATTAGGTTCACTATAATAATGTTTCTTAAGATTCAAACCTCACACTTAGAGACTTTGAAACCAGTAATATGTAAAAGGAGAGAACTTGATCTTCAAGATATTTCAGCACTTAAATTCACTATTTTACAAATTAGGAAACAAAGACACATAGGCTGGCTCAGCTTGTAGTAGGTCAGCTTGTAGTAGGCAGGTGTAGAACTCAAATCTGTGCCCCTGCTCCATACTCTGGGACTCAGTGGAGCCTAGAGAAAAGCGGAAGATGACACCATAGGGTTTGTGATTCCAAAGATTAAAAAACTTCTTTAAATTCTTAAATTAAAATGAGCAGGGGTAATTAATACTGAGAAGCGGAGTTAGTTAAACACTCAAACCCAGATCATGGTTTTCATTTTATGAGCTTATGGAGTAATATTTAGCTATAAACCTTACAAGAAACGGGGCTAGAACTTCCAGGAAACACTCCCCACCCCCAATCTCGGTTATTTTGAAACTCCATTTACTGTAATGTTTGATAAAAAAAAAAAAAAAAGCTACTTTAAAGTCTTGTTTACACATTACTCTATCAGGAGTGAAATAATCCCATGTAGAAGAGTTTCTAAAATAAATCCGTCTTAGAAGCCCATTTTGGGGCGTTGAGTTGTGTGACTACATTCTCAAGGATGTCGGTAACACAAGGGCTCCATCCATAACTCCCTGAAAAAAACTTGAAACCATGAATGCCTTGTCAAATTCAGACAGTTTATCTTGGCGCTGGCAAGCAGAGCAGTCTCTTCGATGTCTGGAAACGTGTCTAATTACGTTTAGAGAGTAACTAAAAAATAGCCGGCGTCCCGGAATAGACAGCTCAGGGATCACTACTCCACTGCCTCCTGAATGACAGGATGGAAGCAAGCCAAGGGGGGGGGGGGGGGCGGGGAGGAAGGATAAATAGAAAACCAAGTGTGAATCCGGGATGCGACGCGAGTCTCCCTCCGAAACAATCCCCCCGTCTTCCCAAGGCCCTCATGGCCGCCACAACTCTCCCTGAAGTTTGCATTTTGCTTTACTTTTGTTTCCATGAGGTCACCCGGCCCGCCCACACCACTTACCTGGGGCAGCGAGCGAGCCGGCCCTCCCCCCGCGCCCGGACAGCCCGAGGACCCGCGTCTCCCGAGGGCGCGCCGCCGGGGCTCGCGCGCCCCTCCCCCTCCCCCTCCGCCTCCGCCTCCCAGGAGGAGCACCCCGGGGCGTCCCCCCTCGGGACGGCGCGACCCCCGGGCTCGCCGGGGCCCCCGGACGCCCCCGCCCGGATGCCCTCCATCCCCCGAGCGCGGCGCGCCCCGGGCACCCCCAGCCCCGCCCCCGCCCCCGCGCCCCCGCCCCCGCCCCCGGCACCGCAGAGGCGCCCCCTCTCGGGAAGGCGCGGGCTCCCGCCGGAGCGCACGAACGCCCCACCCTCACCTGAGCCGAAGGTTGGCCATGAACTCGGGCATGGAGACGGTGTCCATCAGGACGAAGTCCGCCTTGCCGAACTCCAGGCTCTCCTGCTCCGCCATGGCGCCGGCGCACGGGCTCAGGTGGGCGCGGGCGGGCTCAGGTGGGCGCGCTCGGGCCGCGGGGGCCGGCGGGGGGCGCGGGGCGAGCTCGGGCGGGGCCGGGGCGGGGCCGCGGGGCGGCGGGGGAGGGGGCGCCTTCCCGAGGGAGGCTCTGGGCCGGACGGAGGCCGCCCCGCTGCTTCTCGGCGCGCTCTGGGCCGGCGCGGCCGACCCGCAGCTTCCGCTTCTCCCGCGGCGGATGCCCGGAGCACCGGGGCACAGGACACCGAGACGGAGACGGCGGCGGCTGGTCCCGCCTCTGGCCTGGGTCTGGCCCCGGCCCCGCCCCGGCCCCGCCCTCCCCGGCCCCGCCCTCCCTGGCCCCGCCCCCGGCCCGGCCCCGCCCCCGCGCGGGCAGCCGCCTCCTCACCTGGGCGGCGCGCACGCGCGGGGCGGGCGGCGGGGGCGCGCGCCGGGCCGGGCCAGGGCGGCGGGGCGGCAGCGCCCCCTGGAGACGGGCGCTGGGATCTCCGGGGGGCGGTGCTGCGGGGGGCGGGCGTAGGTCCGGGGGTGGACCCGGTCTCCAGAACCCCCCGCTCTGCGGTGCTTGAGGGCCGCCCGCGGGTTGCAGTAGCCGCTCCCCGGCTTTTTGCGTCAGTCCTTAGGATTCCATCGCCTCGCCGCGAAGCCCGCTCCTACTCCCCTGCGCATGTCCTCTCCATCCTTGAAATGATGGTTCGCTCACGGACTGCGAGATATTGACAATAGCCGACGTTTGGGGGACACTTAAAATGCCGAGAGCTTTTCTAAGCGCCTTGCAGAACTCGAGCACCTTGCCACACCGCTAAGAAGTGGGGAAGCTGCAGTTTCATCTAGGTCACTTGATTCAGAAGCCGCAGGGCACAATGCTTTCCTTCTTCAGTATTGCGTGGTCCACCTTTCTCTTCCATTGGGCATGCCACCAAACATTACCTTATATTATTGATGTTTGTAATATACATAGATTTCATCGCCCTAGGATTATTGGAGGCTTCTTGAGCATGGGGCCATGTCCTAAATTTCTTCCTATATGCGTTGGCACTCACTAAGTAGCTATCATATTGCCTTGCATGTGTGGATATGAAATCTGCCCTGGGTCAGTGGAGCAGAAGGAGTTCTAAGTGGTCTCCAATTTATAGATACATTGGTTGGGCTTGGAAAATTCTTTTGGAACTTAGACTACAATTTTCCCGAAGAAAATATGTTAATGAATGACTTTCTAAGGCAGCTGCACCTCTTCAGCCTTGTGTTTCCATTAAGATCATCTTCTAGGAACTCTAGAGGCTCCCAAACACCTGGCTGGGTTCCAACTCCATGGCTGAATTTGAGATGAGTAAACCAGAAGGAAGGACCCTGCTGGAGGCTTGCTTCAGCTGCCAACAACCCACATTAGCCCAGAGAGAGGCGGAAGGCAGCTTGATTGCCTCCCAAGGGAGACTCTCTGCCATAAGAAAGCCACCCCAGCCCCTGGCACAGGCAGAGCTGGGTCGTGGCCTATCATTAGAAGCTCTCCTTCTTCAGAAGACACCTCTCTGGATCTCAGTGTTCTCATTTGTGGAATAAGACCTGTAGGGTTGACACTTTCCAACGTAGGACAGTCTTTTGCTTGGGTCATTATGTGGGTCCGTCAGTAATTGCATAATATGGTACATTCCTAAATTGCGTGTATTAGTATGTTTTAAAGTAAGTAGAACTGAATTTCAAAAATAAAAGAAAGAAATCTTACATTTTGTGCAATTCAGAGAAACCAGGGTCTCCACTCAATGACCCACTGGAAATGCATGCATGTATATTCTCTGAGCCCCAGGGTTGTTAGAGCAAAAGTAATGCTACAGTGGGTAGGATCTACAGTGGGATGTAGCTGTGGTTTTCAAAAGGCCAAAGCAAAGGAACTGTTGTGTCTTATCAGTATCTTGTATAGGAGCACAACATATAGCACATATACACTACATATGCAAAGAGCATTTTATAAATTAATAAGCCCAAATTAATATAGAATCAGGCATGAGACCAATGAGGCTCTTTTGAAGAATCATTATCCATCTGTTGGGGGCCATCATCACTTTAAATCCGCTTCAAGATTCCAATTTAATTTTGACACTGTTTTGGTTGTACAGGGTCAAGAAAATTCTAATACATGGCTAAGTAGTAATTTGTTACTTGTAGAATTTTACACCCAGCTATTTATTTATTTATGATTTTATTTATTTATTTGACAGAGAGAGATCAAGCACAAGCAGGAGGAGTGGCAGGCAGAGGGAGAGGGAGAAGCAGGCTCCCCACAGAGGAGGGAGCCCAATGCAGGGCTCAATCCCAGAACCCTGGGATCATGACCTGAGCCAAAGGCAGATGCCCAGCAGCCTGAGCCACCCAGGCACCCCATCACCCAGCCTTTTAAAAGGTCAGTGCACAACTACAATGTTATTAATAAATGACACATTTACAAGAAATCCCGATATATGCAGAGATGACAGGAGAAACAAAACACTACAATCTACATTCAAACAAGGTAATATAGAGAGAGTTAGCTCATTATTAATCTCCTTTGATAACATTTAGATATAAACACGTTTGGATGTATATGTTTGTGTTACAGTTTAAGATATACTAAAACCAAAATAAAAGTTAAAAATCACCAATAATGAGACATCCTGACATCATGAATGATGTGATGAGTGACATAATCTCCTTAGAAAGACATAACATCACTTCCCTGCTAAAAATGCACCCACTGAATCTAATCATGAAGAAACCTCACATAAACTCACATTAAGGAACAATCTACAAAAAACTTATTTGTACTTTTGGAAAATATCAATGGCTTGCAAAACAAAGAAGACTGAGGGGCTGGTCCAGGTTAAAAGGCCCTAATGAGACACCACAACTAAAGGCAGTATGTGACCTGGACTGGGTCTTTAACCAAAAATGTGTAAAAGACTCTAAACTATAGGAAACAAACTGAGGGGTGCTGAAGGGGTGGGGGATGGAGGATTGGGTAACTGGGTGATGGGCATTAAGGAAGGCATGTGATGTGATGAGCATTCGGTGATATATGCAACTGGTGAATCACTGAACTCTACATATAAAACTAATTATACAATATATGTTAATTAATTGAATTTATTTTTTTAATAATAAATTTATTTTTTATTGGTGTTCAATTTGCCAACATACAGAATAACACCCAGTGCTCATCCCGTCAAGTGTCCCCCTCATTGCCGTCACCCATTCACCCCCACCCCCCGCCCTTCTCCCCTTCCACCACCCCTAGTTCGTTTCCCAGAGTTAGGAGTCTTTATGTTCTGTCTCCCTTTCTGATATTTACTACCCATTTCTTCTCCCTTCCCTTCTATTCCCTTTCACTATTATTTATATTCCCCAAATGAATGAGAACATATAATGTTTGTCCTTCTCCGATTGACTTACTTCACTCAGCATAATACCCTCCAGTTCCATCCACATTGAAGCAAATGGTGGGTATTTGTCATTTCTAATGGCTGAGTAATATTCCATTGTATACATAGACCACATCTTCTTTATCCATTCATCTTTCGATGGACACCGAGGCTCCTTCCACAGTTTGGCTATTGTGGACATTGCTGCTATAAGCATTGGGGTGCAGGTGTCCCGGAGTTTCATTGCATCTGTATCTTTGGGGTAAATCCCCAACAGTGCAATTGCTGGGTCGTAGGGCAGGTCTATTTTTAACTCTTTGAGGAACCTCTACATAGTTTTCCAGAGTGGCTGCACCAGTGAGAATGGGGAAAAAATAAAATCTTCTTAAAAAATGGTTATTTTTAAAAAATCAAATAATACTTAGAAATGAAAGTCACATCAGAAATTTGCTGATGTTCTACAACTGAAAAACCAGCACACACTTTGAAAATTGGTACAGAGTATGTTAGGAGATTATAAACACTGAACAGACAATTCTAAAAACAAAAAAATAATTTATTTTATTTTTTTTAAGATTTTATTTATTTATTCATGAGAGACATAGAGAGAGAGGCAGAGACACAGGCAGAGGGAGAAGCAGGCTCCATGCAGGGAACCCGACTCGGGACTCGATCCTGGGTCTCCAAGATCACGCCCTGGGCCGAAGGTGGCGCTAAACCGTTGAGCCACTGGGCTGCCCTTAAAAGAGAAAATAATTTAAGTAATTTATCTATTAAATATATTTTAATAATTTAACTAATGTTTATGTTAGTTGTGAAATATGCCCCAGGGAGGGTACAATCCATTTTTTAAAAAGATTTTATTTATTTATTTATTCATGAGAGACACACACAGAGAGAGAGGCAGAGACATAGAGGGAGAAGCAGTCTCCTTGCAGGGAGCCCGATATGGGACTCGATCCAGGTACCCCAAGATCACGCCCTGAGCCAAAGGCAGATGTGCTTAACCGCTGAGCCACCCAGGGGTCCCTGGTACAATCCATTCTCTGCCTGAAATTCCCTTCCCTGTTGTCCCACCCCTCACCCCTGTGGCCTAGCTAACTTCTGCTCATCCGTTAGCTCTGCCTCGATCGACATCACTTCCTTCAAAAAGGCTTCCATGATTTCCTAAGTCAGGGTTGGCTGTCCCTCCTCTGTGCCCCCACAACACCCTGGAAGTGTCCTTCCCATTGCAATATTGAATGCACTTGAGCCTATTATCCATCTCTCATGAGAGATCGGGCCATGGGGGCTCGAGGCTGTGTCTGGTCTGTTCTGTTCTTGGGTGTAACTCTGGCACCTAGTAGCACAGTGCCTCACGTGTAAAGGTCTTAACAAATGCTTGCTTGATAGATGAATATGGAATGGACTGTGGCTTTACAAGTTGTGCAATGTGAGGTCGTAAATCCACACCCCCTACATTAAAATCAATCTTTGTGCGGTGCTTATCTTATTCTCATCTTCTACCCCTGGGAGCAGGTCTCAGGGCTGTGTTCACTTCTCTCCTGGGACCAAGCCTGAGCACTATATGTTCACATAAACAAAAGCTGTTGTCGCAAAAACCCCTCTACAGTTGACAGCTGCTTCAGAGAATCTGCTCTGGGTTATCTGTGAAAATCAACTCTGAATTTTCCAAAGCAA